ATATAAAATATATAATATACCATCCCTGGTGAAAATAATTTTACAACAATTTACGTATTTCTATGAAAAATTACAATCTTCTGCAATAAATCACAAATTTCTAGAAATTTGTGAAAATTGTAGAAATTCATAATAAATTGTAGTAAATTGTAATAAATTGTAGTAAGTTGTAAAAAGTAATAGAAAATTGTAACAACTTTTTTACGAACATTTTTATGAGACGTAGTAAATCGTAGAAGTTGTAGATTATTGTAAAAATTATAACTATTTACAACTATCTACAACATTCTGCGAATATTTTTTATGAGAACGTAGTAAATTGTAGAAGTTGTAGATTATTGTAAAAATTATATACAACTATTTACAATTTTTTACAATATTCTAAAAATATTTTTATGATTAAATGTAAGATATAAAAAAAGTATACTTGTCCTACTCTAACTTATATTGCATCAGTGTGCATTAGTTCAGCAGTGCAGGAATAGAAACAGATCTTATTGAAAGTTGTAGATTTCAGCATAGTCTGATGTAAAAATTGTCGAACATGTCGCATATTTAGTATAATATTTATCCAGTGAGAAGGCTGATGTCGAATCGACGTCAATTCAACGTCGATTCACCGGAAACTCATCGACATCAAAATTAACATAAAAAATCAGCTGATTTCAATTAAATTGTTTTGGCATTATGAGTTGAAGTAAGATCCGACTATGAATACCGGCCATACTCTCTTAATTTTAGACAAAATTTTTAGAGTTTTGGACACAAGTAACGCGAAGTAACTTAGAAAGAAGCAACTTGATGCCAAAACAATTTGATTGAAATCGGCTGATTTTTCATGTCAAATTCGATGTCGATAAGTCATCGATTCGATATCAATTTTGTAAGAAATATATATATGACCCTATTAAGAGCTGACACCTTCCGTACGTCTGTTAACAATAAGTGTAACAAATGTAAATGTAGACAATACGAAACGTCTTCATCAATCAATGTTGTAGCACAGTGCGAAAGGTGACTGACTCAAAAGCCAGGGGTTTCAGGTTCAAATCCAGCGGTGGTAAGCAAATTTTCTAAGTATAATATAAATTTATTTAATTAAGCTTGCACACAATCAAGATTTTCAGCAATAAAATAATGTTCAACGAGAAAAGTAAATTTTATATTTTATTTTGTAGTATATCCAAAAAGTTGTAGTTATTCATAAAAATTTCAACGTAAATTTATGAAAAATTACAAACATAGCCCAAATCGCGTACTTTTGACGTACAAATTACGTAAAAATAGCGTGAAAAGTTGTAATTATATTATAAGAAATTGTAGTTTTCGCATAATTTTTGTGTGAAATAAAATTATTTCCACCAGGGATATTTCAATCGAATTTCAACCTTACTTCGACGTTGAAACGATCATAGTTGAATAGTCGTTGATATTTTATACGCTTTCGATGTCGAATCGACCAGAATTACGAGATTGATTCGACATTCAGTTTTCGATATTGATTCGACGTCGAATCAACTAATCATTTCTGACTCCATTTTTGAAATTTTGAAATTCTGAAAGTTGTTTCGAGTTGTTCTAAATTGTTCCAGAAGATCAAATTTTTAAAATAAAAATGTTCGCGGAAAATTAATAAAAACAATTTTCTGATCCGGCATCCTATTTTTCGAAAATTGAACTTTTCAAGGTTGTTCCAGGTTGTTCTAATTGTTCTAAACATTGTTCCAAAGTATTAGTTTCATTGGTCAAAAACTTTAAGAGATAATTGAAAAAAGAAAAATTTTGGAAATAATAGTTTTTGGCCATTTATTTGTAAAGAAAATGACTTACAAAACTGTCGATTTAGAACATATTTATAACCGCGTAGAACAACTCAGAACAAAATTTTTAAGACCAGAACAAAAACCTAATTCAATATAGGACCTTCTGATTGGTTGATTCGTTGGAAAAATTTAAGTACCAGTCAACCACAAAGTGTAGTCAAACGGAACGGCTCCTGGATGTCACTCATATAAATAGACTAAGCATTCATATGATGACAATATTGAAGGTTCGAAGATCCATAAGCAGATACTCTCATTTTGTTAGATAATACGTTAAATAGGTGTGAGAATAGATAGAGAGAATGGACGAATATGTGTAAGAGACTGCAGAGTGAATGAGTGAGTGGGGGTGTATGTGAGAGAGACAGAAGAATAAGAGAGGGAGAGAAAAAGGAAAAAAGGGAGAGAGGAAGAGAAGGTGAAAGAGAGGAAAGGAAGGAAGGAGGCAGAGAGAAAGAAAAGGGGGAAGAGAAGGGAGGGAAAAGAAGGTGAGAGAGAAAGGGGAAGTTACTTTCTAAGAGCATGGAAATTTTGACTGCTTCTGTTCTCCCTTTCTCCCCATGCACCAATTGTACAATCGGATAAGGAAAACATCTGACTCGCTACTGTACTTTTCTCATACTAATATTATTTTCATTACCGACCTATAGTACGGCCTGCACGATCTCTACTTTACTTGCATACGAAACACGGTCCTCAAATAAAAGTGAGATAACAAATAGCCGAAGACTATCTCTGTCTCTATCTATGAATTTGATTGGTTAATATCTACAATATTCGATCGCTCAGGAACATAACTGCCAAAGTGTGGTATAGTATACTTCGTTCTCTTTGCCATATGATTAACTGTAACGAAAGATCTAAGAGAAAAAAATTTGTTTTGTCCAAACATCAATAAAACATACTTTTGCATTAAACAAATATGTTATTATTATACTTATTTAATTTTCACTGAAAAATATTTGCATGGAGCTTTGCAAAAAGATGTTACAATCCTGACTAGAAAAAAGACAAAGTCCATAATCGCGCTGTCCTTCTTGCATACTATATACACGCTTTGCATCACGCATACGCATCACGAGTTCATACTATAGCACAGATGATATAATAAAACACTATAGGTCGATGATTTTCATGCCAATGAAAATAGTAATAATATATAAAAATCTATGCCTATATTAGTTTCCAGTGAACTATATTACTACACGTTTACGCAAGCGTTACTTCTGTAGTAACTTATTACGATAATTCACTCGTTTACGCGGAGTAAATTATCGTAAATAAATTAAGCCTTGTATACACGATGCTAGAACTGTGTCCGAGTTTCGGTTTAAGCCAATGAAACTGCTACTTTTCTGTAAGAGCTGCAAGTTGATTGGCTTAAACCAAAACTCGGACCGATTTCTAGCATCATGTATACAAGGCTTAAGGGGATCCTATAGTGGCGGTAGTTACCGACATTTTTTTCATTTTAAGGAATCTTTGAATTGGCTTTACAGAATTGCAAGTTTTTGGTCTAGAATTAAAGTACGCACAAAAATCTACATCGCGTTGATTTCATATCGGGAACGAAAAAAAATTAAAAATTTTACTAATTTGGGTACATACAACTGTCATCTGACGACAATAACAAAATTACTGCAGTTTATATACATATAATGACACCAAGGCGACGTAGGAACAACATGTAGGAACAATATCGTGTAAATAAAACTAAGATTCAACGTCTAGAAAAAAAGATTTTGTAAAATGAAGTTTTATTAAGCAAAAGCACATTCAGGTTATTGATAGGATAAGCAGTAATTACAGTAGTTACAGTAGTTACTACAAAATCCCGTTTACGCGAAGAAATTATCGTAAGTTACTACAGAAGTAACGCTCGCGTAAACGTAGTATATAAGTATAATATAATAAAACCCTAAAGAGCACAGTTGACGGAAAGTCGACGGCAAGTCGACTTTTATAAGTCGACTTCTAGTCAACTTCAAAAAATGACGGAAAGTCGACTAAAAGTCGGCTTCTAAATAGTTGACTTATAAAAGTCGACGGAAAGTCGACTTCTAAATAGTCGACTTATATATAGAAGTCGACGGGAAAGTCTACTTCTAAATAGTCGACTGATAAAAACACCTCGCAAAGCATAGATTTAAAAAATAAGAGAGATAGACAATACTTAAGGCCCGGGCACATAGAAAAACTTAAGCAGTAAGACATAAGCAGTAAGGAAATCAACGATACTGATTTGCCACCGCTTACATTATGTCTTAAGTTCTTGACTATAATTGGCTGATTTGCTTACTCTGCTAACGTCTTACTGGTTAAGTTTTTTTATGTGCCCGGGCCTTTAATTTTAAAGTGGTTACTTTCCGCCCGCTATGCCGCTCTGGCGTGAAATTGGCCACTTTCGCCCCTCTCTACAGGCATGGAAAGTCGAACTTTCCGTGGAGATGTTGTGAAAACAAATTGACCAATAGCTATCTCAAGTTTTCGAGAATACTTGACTGTGATTGGTCAATTTGCTTACTCTATCATGAGAAAACAATAGAAAAATATATAAAATGTAACTGAAAAATATAGACCTTTTACAGTAAAAGATTTATACATAAAACATATATCTGTATAAAAATCTTATAAATATAAATATATATATATATAGGCATTTGCAGATATGGTTGCGGTCCACTTGACGCTACAATAATGCTTTTTGGAGCGTTTTTTTTCTCCTTCTTTCTTCATTGAAAGAAAAGAGGAAAGGAATCCTTCGAAGCATTTGTAGCGTCAAGTGGACTGCAGCCATAACCTACAATTTATATTTATAGGCATAAAGAATATCGTTTATGTAGGACCGACATTGCAAATAGAGTAGCCTCGCGTCGTTTCGTATCTTCCGCTTTTCATTCGACGCCGACGACCGTGGCGCGTGATTCGCTGCAAATGAATATCGCTTTAAACAAACGTTTGCCTCTAGTTCGAGGCAAATTTACGGAAATGCGAATAAACGTGACTCATTATCTCATTTTCTTTACAAAATTATTTTCCGAATTCAAACACACGTGTCTTCGATCGTCTGACTCATCGTTCAAACTGGGTTTAAACGTGACGCTCGTGCGCCTTCTCGGCGTCCATATTATCCATATCCATAAACGCGGGATGAGCAATGCATGGTAAACAAAGCTTCGTGCTACACAGTGGTACAGCACGAAAATATGCTACTCTATAATTCTAGCACGAATTTCTTGTCGCGCTCGCGTCCGTCGTAAACACGATATCGAATTTCGACGATGAACAACCGGTTTTTTTTTATGCTCGCGCAGTGTCACCGGAAGCGTATACTTCGGTTCGTTTGCCGCCAAACTACCCTGCGTGAGTGCGTGAGTGCGTGCTGCGATGAAGAAGTTGTTTATTCGTCGGCTCGCGAACCTACGATCGTAGCGTATACTTAGATATCACGCTGCACGCGCGTTATAAGTTGCGTACCACTGACGTGCCGCGAATCGTCTCCGCGTGTTCGTTGGGACTGGTTGGGACGCTCAAACCTCTCGAAATTCGTGGGATATATCATGGCCAAGGTTCAGCTGGCGAACGTCGCTGTTCTGGACAATCCTTCGCCGTTCCTGAATCCGTTCCAGTTCGAGGTCACGTTCGAGTGCATCGAGGAATTGAAGGAAGGTGCGAATCACGATTTTGTGAATACGATAGTTCGCGCGGAGGACGCCGTTCCTCTATCCGTTACTCTAACCTCGAACGTGCGCACGACCGTTCTTTAGGTTAATTTTTACAATTGCCATGATGCCCACAGCCGCCAATGATACGGAACTGTATCACGAATGTTCCACAATCCGCTTGATCGTAAAACGTAGAATTTATTTACGGTGAAAAGGGTGACGTGTGCTCTAATGTGATAAGTTTTTGTCGATCAAGCTTCCTTGCAACGTAGTTGTTTCAATTCTCTTGTGTACATGTCCTGTAACATACCCAGACAGTCAAGTCTGTCGAAAGCAGATCTTGCAAAGTATCTGCTATAAAGTTTGTCGTAGAAAGACTAGATTTGATGTCGGTTCTGATATATCACATGATGTCGACAGAACACCAATAGAAGTATAACAAAACTGACATAGTTAGTTAAGTAGATTGGTGACCAAAGAAATCAAGTAGATTCTGCTGGAACCGTTCAGGCTCTGTGCGATTTCCACTGCCAATCTGCTGTCAGATTATGTTAGCAGACTACTCTGCTGGCAGAACATAAGCTGAATACGGACGCAGTTGATATCTGTTGACATGTCTTATCAAATCTATTCAATCTGTTGACAGATTGCTATCATTTTGCTTACTAGGATTATATATGACATATATTCTATATGTATATATATGCTGAAGAAACGTATTAATATATATAACACTGATGTTCTTTTAGATTTGGAATGGAAGATGATATATGTGGGTAGCGCAGAGTCGGAGGAATTTGATCAAGTCCTAGATACCATTTACGTTGGTCCAATCCCGGAAGGAAGACATATGTTTGTATTTCAGGTAAAATATCTTGAATCAGCAGATATAAATATATCGCAATTTATCTAATTTAATGATGTTGGCATTATCTGATTATTTTCTGTTTTTCCATTGTTAGGCTGATCCACCTGATGTGAGTAGGATCCCAGTCAACGATGCTTTAGGCGTGACCGTCGTGTTGCTGACTTGTTCGTACAGAGGTCACGAATTTGTTCGCGTGGGTTACTTTATAAATAACGAGTACACGGATCCAGAACTCCGGGAGAATCCACCGCCGCAGCCGCAATTCGATAAAGTTCAGAGGAATATACTAGGCGATAAACCGCGCGTCACTAGATTTAAAATAAATTGGGACGACTGTCCAACTGGATCAGCGAACAGTCTTCCCGAGGGCATGGATGCGCCGGCGTTAGAAGATACGTCGCAGGATGCGCCTACGTCCACATTAGGCTTCACAGAGAATACGCAAAACGGTGGAATGGAAGTGATGTGAAAACTGATTTACTGCTAATAAGGAAATAACTCGGTGAACTTGCGTTATACAACAATTTAAATGATAAAATATAGTACCTGGCGAGAAGATGGAGAAGAAAAAATACACCTTCGGTATATATACATATATATATTTAGATAATTAAAAAAAATCACGCAAATAACCTTCCATATAATTATTGATGTTTTTCTTCGATAAGATCTAAGAAGTTTGTACATTTTGAAAAAGAACTGTTGATAATGTGATAACCTACACCTTACATCTGAATAAAAAAGAATGAACGTTTGGATTAATTGTCCGCGAGATAGTTATTTTCAGGTTTCTCTCTCAATTGAATAGTGGTATTTGATTGCAACTTACAATCTCTCTAAGATTAATTTCTGTAAAAAGAAAAACCTTACAAATAATAACAAACAGCAATCGTGGCGCCAATTCTGCACAAATAGATTAAATATAACAATTAATTATAAGCCATCTTGCTATGATGCGAGTTTTAAACAAACTATTATGCAATTATTGTTTCAAAGTTACAATGTTTAAGTAGCTTATAATTTGAAGCTTGAGCCTAAAAAATATGTTTGATGTTTTAAGTATTATACCATTATTGCTTATTATAACGTCACGTTGCATTAGATCGTAAGACAGTTTCCATTTTTAGTAGTGTATATATACATACGTACATACTAAGATGAAAAATACATATTGTTTTTTACTTGAAAAAAAATTTGTTTTTTCTCGTTCTGTCTCTCTGTCTCTCTCCCTTTCTCTTTGCAATATTTTCTTGTCGAAAAATTTAGTTTAATCTACAATTATTTATTACATGCGACAAAAATTTGTGCTATTGTAAATTTCATTTTTTCCACATGATAAAAGTGTGCATATTTAAAAGATTTAACGACCGATCTTTCGATTAATCTGAAATCTATGTCTTAAGGCATTGTTAGCTTAGATATATGTATATGTAGTTATATATATATATATATATATATATACACGACAAGCGACAAAAAATAACGTTTAAGAAAACGCAATTAACTCCGTATTTAGCATAATACGAAGGAAAGATTTGATAATGCATTTAGCATTTTTACTAGGAACGCAATTGTGAATTTTTCTAATAAATTTAAATTTTTTTACTTTTTATACATATCAAGTACAACTTTTACGTTATTTGCAAAAGAATCGCTTAACATATTCCTCCTTAATTGATTTCGCTAAATTTTTAAGATGTGTAAAATTTTCTCTTCCATGCTACGAAATTACAGTTTAAAGTTCTAGATTATTTAGAGCAAAAGAAAGAGTTCTTGATAGTTTTTAGAAAGAGTTCCGTCCACTATGATAATGTAGAGTAGATTTCAAAACATCAAGATTAAATAATTCTAAATACAATTCTGATGACTTTTTAAATATTAAATATTTAATTCATTTATGTATAAACGGGATTAAGAAAAGATCCCTTTAGTACACATAATATGATCACAATTATATCAGCAAAAGACGCAGAATAAGAGATTGAAAGAAGAATATGAGAACAATTTTACGAGTTACAGTAAAGAAATTAAGAAAAGATAAAACCTAACGAAGATAGTAAAGTAGTGAATGTTTAAAAGAGCTAAGAGACATATATGAAAGAAATCCACGCGATCGGAGAATTTGTTCGCCAGTAAGCATATCCGATTTAGGGGCTTGAATTTACCATAGGAAGGACGATGCAATTCTTCATAAAAAGTTTAATTGTTTCTGAGAGGCTTGTAATATGCAATTTTACGCGATCCAATAAGTCAAAGCAAATAATACGCGCCAATTAATTAATTTGAAGAGAAACAGTAAGTCTAAAAAAGTTCTTCTACATTCCAAAATGTTATTAAATTAAGCTCATTTAACATGAAATCATAAATATGATCAGAATAACACATTGGTTCTCCATAAGAAAACTCTACGAAGAAAACGGTATTGGATCCTCTTAATTATTACATAATATTTAATTTAGTACGGTGCCCAAATGCCCCAAATAATTGCAGCATATTCTAGCTGTGGTCTGACCAACGAGCAAAATAATCTTAAAATATAGATATTTTTTAAATATTTAAAAGACCGCATGTAACAAATCCAAGTCTCTATGCATGCACACCTTGTGACAGTTTGAATATGTTTTTCATGATAAAATCTGTGCAAAATTATTACACCTAAGTCACGAGTAGAGTCCGTTACCGAGAGAGCATAGATCTATCCATTTAAAAAATAATCATGTACAATTCTTTTCCCGACTAAAGTGTATTACGACATTTGGATATATTAGAAAATGTAAATTATTTGTATTACGCCAAGAATCTAAACTGCACAAAAGATCAAGCTGTAAAAGGATTGCGTCATAATAGTTATACTGTATACAATAATATACAAATCAACCCGACGAAATACTTTTAGCTCATCGGCATATGATAAAAATGTACTATGCTTAAAGACTTTTTCAATATATTATAAACCTTCTAATGCGTTATCTTGCCTGTCATCTAAGATGAGACCCTAATAATTCTAATTCCTGATATCATACCAAAATTCTCCTTTGCCCTCAATTTTTATAGAAACACAAATTCCGGATATGACAAATATAGCAACTGCGATTTACGTCAAATAATTTAACACTGGTCGACGTGTCAGGTGCGGATTGAGTTTTCTGAGTCGTTTTCTGTAGATTTTTGCCCACTAAATCCGAATCTGTCAGTGAAATCTTTCTATCGCATTTGGTTTTTTAAAAAATTGAGATTAAATGTGCAAAAAAAAACGTATTTTTGGTCATTTTTGACAAAGAATAGATGATGAACCCGATGTGAAAATTCGAAAAAAACTTAAAATGAAGGTTAGACAGTATACTTTAAGCTAAGCAAACTCATAATTAATCCGCAATTATCTATCTCTATCACAAGCTACAACGTTTGTTTGTAGTGGAATGTGTCTTGCACCAGCCGTTGGCTAAGGGGAATCAAATGAATTTAATACTTCAAAGTATATACTACACACTTTTCATTTATATAAAGTATTTTTTTTAATTTATAAGCATTAAATTTTAAAGAGATTTCTTGAGTCCAATTGAAAAAAAAGTTTAGATATTTTTTTCTCTGTTAGATTCGACAACTTTCATATTAAACATTTTTTCCAAAATACATTCTTTATGAGATATATATAATCGAGATGAAAATTTTGAGTGTAGGTAAAGTAAATATATATAGCAATGCGTGGACACGTAAGACCTATGTCTGGACATTTTTATCACTTTAGTCCTTTCCTAAATAAGTTATAACGCGAATTAAAATCAAAGAATCAAAGATGAAAATATTTTTCTTGTATTACATTTTTATCTTTGATTTTAATTTGCGTTATACTTATTTAAAAACTAAAATGATAAAGGTGTCCAGACATAGGTCTTACGTGTCCAGGCATTGGTTCATTTACCTTAGGTAGTGTATTGAAGTATTAATTTCTAATTCCTTTTACAATAAGAAAAAACTTTTGGAAATACTATATTGGTTTAATTAAAAAAATATTATTTTATTTTTCTGTGGCTTTTTATAATTTTATTCAAATTCTAACAATAAGTCATATAAAACAGACTTAAAATCAAAGTATAGTGTAAAAGTTTAGTGTGGGTGTATATTGTATACATCTGCAAACACACTCACTTCTTTTATAACATTTTAAAAATAATTCGCGTAAAGTCACAAGTGCCACAGAGAAGTAAAATAAAATTTTATTAATTAAATACATATACGCGGGAAAAAATAATTTTATACGGAAAATTACTCCAATGTATATGTTTCTCCAGAAAATAATCAGGATAAATAGAAAATATTGTATTTTGTATCTATTATCAGAGTACAGTGAACACGCGCAGGTCGTCGCTCCGCGATGGTGTCTTGCTCTGAAATCCTTCTGTACTCATTAACGACGGCACTTCGGTAAAACTTTACAATAACGGATCCAGCCCCGATGACCTTGACCTTGACGTATGTTGCCAAGGTCACCCTCCTGAGTGACTTTCAGAAGGTTTTAAGGTGGAAGCACATAAAATTGCAGGAGCCATAAGCAGAAAGCAGAAGCCATATGCGCATGCGCTATGGTATCTGTAGAGCTCTATAGATACCATAGCGCATGCACATATGGCTTCTGCCTTCTGCTTATGGCTCCTGCAATTTTATGTGCTTCCACCTTTAGCCGTCGCTCGTTTTTTATCAAAAAGTTATTAACAAAAAAAGTTTGAAAAATATAGCAGTTATTTTGAGCATTAAAAGGCATAAACGACTAATATATATATGTGGAAATAGTACATGTATGAACAAAGGAAAGTCTTTTAAAGCAGTGGAAAGTCCACGCATGTACTTTGAAGGCACACTATTACTACGTTTACGCGAGCGTTACTTCTGTAGTAACTTACGATATATCACTCGTTTACGCGGAGTAAATTATCGTAAGTTACTACAAAATCCCGTTTACGCGAAGGAATTATCGTAAGTTACTACAGAAGTACGCTCGCGTACTTCTGTGGTATATGTGTCTAGTTTAACAATAGTGGAGCCGCCCCCGCAGGGGGGGCGGAACCTACTGCCTCCACGCATACACTTTCCACGCAAAACCGGGTGCCACATGGGTTTATATGTTTATAACTTTCCACGCGTATGGGTATGCGTATGTGTATGCGTACATTCTGAATGGATTGGCATCGAAAACTAAAAAAACAATTTCTTCTCCGGTCTTTTCTACCCCTATTTCATATATAATTCTTTCAGATTTGGTTGATTAGACCCAGCTTTATACGCGATCAAAGGTCCATAATTTTTTGAGAAATGTCTGTGGTAGCTCTAACTTCCGTAAATTTTAAGATATCAGGCTATTTCTAATTTTATTATATTCTTCAGTCTTTTCTACCCCTATTTCATATATAATTCTTTAAGATTTGGTTGATTAGATCCAGCTTTATACGCGATCAAAGGTCCATATACAAAGTCCATATATGGATCATGTAGCCTAAACTCCCAAAGTCAACATCGATTTGACATTGCGTCAATTGTAAAACCTCACTTGTGCTACTAAGCTGCTCCTATTTTATTTCGCTCATAAAGTTTCCTCTATGAGAAAGCCAAATTAATAAATACTAATAATTATACATCAAATAAAATACAAGCTTTCTCATAAGAGAAACTTTGTGAGCGAAATAAAATAGGAGCAATGGTAGCGAACTGTAATGTTTTATAAAATTTTAAATTTTTTGAGAAATGTCCGTGTTTGTTCTAACTTC